ATACTGTGCAACAAAGTATCGCAAAATACAGACTAACTGGGATAGCAGAGTGCGTCAGATATGATGTAAAAAAGTCTCCTAAACACAGTGTATCAGAGATCCGACAATAACTCTCGACGATCATATTCAGAATATGATGACTTTTATTGGACTCCTAAGGTTTTCTTCTTATGTTGTATACCGACAAGTGATGTTGGTGGTGTAAAATAGTAAATCCGAGTGACGGATTACATTCGCTAACAGGTGTAACACCAACTCTGACCTCTATGGGCAGTTAACTTGTAGCGACCCACTGACACCTTTGTGGTCAATTACTATTGTAGCTTATTACTTTGACCTAAGTTGTAAATTGTTATCATTACATCCTTCAAGTCAGCCTGTTCAACTGGCACTCTTGTCGCAATCTACTACTATAACATATGTGACCAATTATTATTGTATCAACAAGCTGTTATCATTATAATAATTTAGTCATTATGTGTGGTCAATTGACACTCTTATAACGACTCAGTATGGCTGATATAAGGTCTATTTGGGGCAGCTGCAGCTTATCTAGCTTATCTTGATAAGTTGTTTGGATGTTTGGGGCAGTTGTTTGAAAAACATCTGATTTGCAACTATTCATGGATAAATAATCATTACGCCTCTATTAAGTAATGTTGTTTACAACAGAACTGCCTTGACAATATATTTGATATTAGAGAAGCAGAAAACTCGTGCAGAACAATAATAAAAAAAGGAAACAACCCTCACTTAACAACGAACATAAAGAGTGATAAAAAAAAGAAAAAATGACAATTAAAATTATGATAATATTAATTTTAAAATCGAGACGGCGTATGTCACGGGCTACACTATCCTCCAGGGATACCATCTAAGCATGGATTGATACAAAAAAAAATATGGAGGAAAAAAAAAACCCAAGGCAATTATGACTACATTATAACACAACTCTCCTCACCCCATAGCAAGGAGATGTCAAAATCCCATTCCAACCTGCTAGCATCTAATGACTATCACTACCATAGCTATAAGACTCTTTTTTTCATACATGCAACATAGCTATCATGGAAGATTGCGATAATACTATGAAAATTGAATGGAAATGTGAGCAACAATAATGAACTAAACTTGTAGTCTAGTAATCTTTTGCTCCCATACCAAATAACTCATTCTAATAGTTGTATCATTGTAGAAGAAAATAGTGTACAAAAATTTGGTATAAATTACAACGATATTAGAATACATAGTGAAAGACACATACCAGGAAACTGTTTAAAAATAACACCAAAAGAAAGTTTTTCAGATCTCAAGTCCATGACACCATAATCTATGGGTTGTACCCTGTAAATGCCACCGAAGAACAGATGGGAGTAAATGCATATTGTAACTTCCAAATTGTATTGTAATGTACAACACAACCAAAACCATAAAAAGAATTACATTTAAGGGATAGAAAATGTGATTTTATATCAGATCAAGTAGATTTAAAAAAACTATTTCATTGAGCTCATGGAGATAAAACTTTGAAGAAGATAAGTAAATAGTGGACACATCTTTCAATAATAGTAAGTGAAATACTACAAAATAACAAGTGAGCATACTGTAAAAAGAAATTTGGCTTGCATCAGCAGAGGTGAAAAAACTGATGGATAAATATTTCATTAATAGTATGAGAAGGTCAATGTGCATAATTCTCCAACGAGCAGAGATTCTCACTTTCTTAATGATGTATAGTAAACCACTATGTATAAAAAAAAAGATAAAAGAATCATACCTGTTAGGAGTTAGCACAGGAAATATACACTGCTTTCGACAAACTTTGTTGTTTAACTAACTATCTTGAATATAGAGCTGTGGAGTATCACAAATACAGGGTAACAAAGTATCTCGAATATTGTGTAACAAAGCATCTTGAGCACGGGGCAACGTAGTAACTCGAATATGCGACAACAAAGTATCCCAAATACGGGGTAATTGAGTATTCCGAATACGTGGCAACAAAGTATCCTAAATAATGTGCAACTAAATATTTAGAATACGAGGTAACCGAGCATCTTGAATATTGTGCAACAAAGTATCACAAAATACATACTAACTGGGATAGCGGAGTGCATCAGATATGATGTAAAAAAGTCTCCTAAACACAGTGTATCAGATATCCGACGATAACTTTCGACGATCATATTCAGAATATGATGACTTTTATTGGACTCCTAAGGTTTTCTTTATATGTTGTATACTGACAAGTGATGTTGGTGGAGTAAAATAGTAAATCCGAGTGACGGATTACAGTCGCTAACAAGTGTAACACCAACTCTGACCTCTATGGCCAGTTAACTTGTAGCGACCCACTGACACCTTTGTGGTCAATTACTATTGTAGCTTATTACTTTGACCTAAGTTGTAAATTGTTATCATTACATACTTCAAGTCAGCCTGTCCAACTGACACTCTTGTCGCAATCCACTACTATGACCTATGTGGCTAATTATTGTTGTATCAACAAGCTGTTATCATTATAATCATTTAGTCATTATGTGTGGTCAATTGACACTCTTATAACAGCTCAGTATGGTCGATATAAGGTCTGTTTGGGGCAGCTGCAGCTTATCTTGATAAGTTGTTTGAATGTTTGGAGCAGTTGTTTGAAAAACATCTGATTTGCAACTATTCATGGATAAATGATCATTATGCCTCTATTAAGTAATGTTGTTTACAACAGAACTGCCTTGACAATATATTTGATATTGGAGAAGCAGAAAACTCATGCAGAACAATAATAAAAAAAGGAAACAACCCTCACTTAACAACGAGCATGAAGATTGATAAAAAAAGAAAAAAAATTATTAAAATGACAATTAAAATTATGATAATATTAACTTTAAAACGAGACGGCGTATGTCACAAGCTACACAATCCTCCAGGGATACCATCTAAGCATGGATTGATACAAAAAAAAATGTGGAGACAAAAAAAACCCAAGGCAATTATGACTACATGATAACACAACTCTCCTCACTCCATAGCAAGGAGAGCAAAATCCCATTCCAACCTGCTAGCATCTAATGACTATCACTACCATAGCTATAAGACTCTTTTTTTCATACATGCAACATAGCTATCATGGAAGATTGCGATAATACTATGAAAATTGAATGGAAATGTGAGCAACAATAATGAACTAAACTTGTAGTCTAGTAATCTTTTGCTCCCATACCAAATAACTCATTCTAATAGTTGTATCATTGTAGAAGAAAATAGTGTACAAAAATTTGGTATAAATTACAACGATATTAGAATACATAGTGAAAGACACATACCAGGAACTGCTTAAAAATAGTACCAAAAGAAAGTTTTTCAAATCTCAAGTCCATGATACCGTAATCTACGGGTTGTACCCTATAAATGCCGTCGAAGAACAGATGGGAGTAAATGCATGTTGTCACATCCAAATTACATTGTAATGTACAACACAACCAAAACCATAAAAAGAATTACATTTAAGGGAAGGAAAATGTGATTTTATAGCAGATCAAGTAGATTTTAAAAAAAACTATGTCATTGCCCTCATGGAGATAAAACTTTGAGGAAGATGAGTAAATAGTGGACACATCTTTCAATAATCGTAAGTGAAATACTACAAAATAACACGTGAGCATGCTGTAAAAAGAAATTTGGCTTGCATCAGCAGAGGTGAAAAAATTGATGGATAAATATTTCATTAATAGTATTAGAAGGTCAATGTGCATAATTCTCCAATGATGAGCAGAGATTCTTTCACTTTCTTAATGATGTATAGTAAACCACTATGTATAAAAAAAGATGAAAGAAACATACCTGTTAGGAGTTAGCACATGAAATATACAAAAAGCTCCAAATCCCAAATTTGGTTAGTATGCACAAGACCTTAAGCATAAAATGCTAGCCAAAACACGAGTAGTTAACTGCTGCAACCAAATCCACAAGAGGATCTTCCAATGGCTTCGACATAATTTTAGTATTCAACTGCCATGCCTTTTCAAAATAGTCCTAAAAAAGGCATAGCAGTGCAAGTTTCCCAAATGGCAAGTCATAAGTAGTAACCAGCATCCTGTTCCACCATATATAAAATTGTAATATCGCATTTCCACATTACACAATAACCAATATTTCACATAGATGCTCAAAGCATTTTTGCACAAAAAAAAAAAAAAAAAAAAAAAAAAAAAAAAAAAAAAAAAAAAAAAAAACTACGAAATAAGAAAAAAATACGTTTTCAATAGAAATACAAGTAAAGAGAATCGACATTGACAAGCAAATTATAGCAATGTTAATATTCTTTGTCAATTGATTCTTACGAGCAAGAATAGAAGATAAGTATTGCTAAACTGCTAATGTCTTTTATGGGAACAATTTCTCTGATAAAAAGTATGTTTGCGTGCAATAGGTGCATCAGAGAAAAAGAGAGAGAGAGAGGACAGACAAATAGAGGGAGGGGGTGGAGATAGTATGTAGGAACCACTGGTGGTGGCGGTTCCTTGTTGCAAAGATTACCCATATTCCACCCCCCTCAGGCTCCCTCAACGACGAGTTGCTGTGAGTTCCTTCGTTGCCATCCGAGCTATGTATTGCGAAGCTTGTTCACGAAGTTTGTGATTTTGATCGCAAGAGAAAAGTTACGTGACAGGCGGAGGAAGGCAGAGGAGACGCGGGAGAGACAAAACGTGAGAGAGAAGAGGACAACTGGGTAAAATTCACGAACGAACGTCCACCGCGGGGTCAATCCCGCGGCCCTGTATATTAAACAATCCAATATGACATTTTTCAAAACCCAACGCAAACGAGCTTACCAAACGGGACAGCTGCGTTTAAAAATACCGCCCACACGACGCCAACACTTATAAGCTGCCCAAATGGGGCCATAGTCAGTTACTATTATAACTTACTATCAATGTGATTGATTGTTATCATTACAACTTTACTACCTATCCTGATTGATCCTTCCTTTGTCATCGCCTTCTAATCTGCCCGTTTCCTTCCTTGCACAGTGCTCTAGGGGTCGAGTTCTGCTCATTTAAATTTAGAGCCCAAAAAATATGCTCGTATTAGGCTCGTTTGATTTAGCGAGCAGAGCACTAGTTGTTCACCTTGCCCTAAACTTTGGCTTCTCCGAACACGAGCCGCATCGTTGTTCCTTTGTTCACGTGATTCTGCCCTAGCCGCAACACTTCCCACACCGAAGCCCCTCCGCCCTAAACTTTGGCCGCTCTGTGCTCCTCCCTGTCACGCTTCCTAAGCCGCATGGTTCTCTGTATTTGCGCACTGAAATCCTCTTTCCGTTTCCCCTCCCTGCCCTAGCCTTCGTCACCCTCGCCGAACACCTACCTGTTTCGCCTCCTGATGCCGCACTGTTCGATCGCTGTTTGGCCTTAAAGCCGGATAAGCCCTTCACTTCTGCTGCCTAACAGAACTCCTTATTCAAGCACAACCCGAACCTCTTGCCCTACCAAAGGCATTTTTAAGTCCGTCCCAGAAAATTGCGAGTAGGTTAGTTATGACGTCGAGGTCGCCAAGTTCGGGTTGATCAGACAATACATCACTGCCTGCCTGGTTTGCCTAAGGTACATAAACGTGCATTCCGTGCAGCCAACTATCTGTTTTTGTTTGAAACAAATGACTTTTCACTTCCAGCTTAGACATGCAGATGAGAGTAACGAAGTACCCGAGCAAATCAATCTCTCTTTTCTCGATGAGATTTAGTGAAATTCAAGGAGAGAGCTCGACTGAACACCCACAAAAGTGTTTTTGTTACTTTATTTAGTTGACTTTATTTTATTATTCTTGTTGTTGTGTAAAAAAAAAAAAGAAATCCGTGTTATATCTTCATGTCGTTTGTGTCGTTCGAAAGATATAGTTTTGGGACAAAAAGACTTAAAATATCTACTCAAGGAAGCACGAGTACCCATCCGTGGAAAGTTAAGTACCGTTGGAACTCTTTTGGAAAACTTTTTTAAAACTCAGATTTTATAATATCCGCCCGTGGGAAAAACGAGTACCCGTTTTTAAAAATTGAATACTGTTCGAGAAAAGTAAAATAACGTTCAGGGAATGTTGGTTTGCAATCTAACCTTTTGAGTAGGTATGTTGAAGGCACGTTGCGTTTTTTAAGATCGCATGCTTAAATTTATATTTTTGTTCCCCACCAACTCGTCTCTTGAGATAGTTGGAAAGATTGACATTCTCCCTTACCCTAAACAGGGGTTGATGCCGGGAGGCTGCTGAAATTTCAGGTAATTTGGACTTATAAACCACTTTAACCCTGGATTTTCAAACTTATAAAATAAATCATTTGAATTTAAAAATAAGTTGAAATTTTTAATATTTTAAAATTTTTAGGTTCCTTAGGCTTAAAAGTTCAAAATTTTAGGCTCTTAGGACATTTAAAGATAATATCAGTTTTTGGGTTTTTTCTAACTTGAAATTTTAAAGTTTAAAATCAAAGTCAATGAGAACATTTAAACTCAAGTCTCGATGGTTAAATTAGCCCAAATTTGAGCTTTCAAAATTAAGAGCTTAAGGTTTACAATTTATCCAAAAATTTGGAATTTTTAAATCGAAACGCTTAGGTTTGAATCATTTGAATTGACCCAGATATTAAATAATTGTACTTTTAAAAATAACTTAATACAATTGGTGTTTAGGGTAATTTAAAATCAAAGCACCAAAATTCACACAGCTAAACTTCAATTGAAATTCAAATATCCCGAATTGAGGAGCTAAGTTTGATTTGAAAAACTCCACCACTAAATTCGCATTGTGTCTACTAGCGAACAGAAGGTGATCCTTTCAAAGCTTCAAATGAATTTATGTGAATGCAAGAACATTTTTGGGAATATTTCAAAATTTGAATAACTTCAAGGCTTTCTTAAAGATAAATGCAAGGTTTTTAGAATTTATACTAGTGTTTTTAACGTATATGAAAAACAAGTTGAACAATCTCAAGCTATAAATATTTTAAAGATATTTATGAATCAATTATGCATAATCTTAAAATCTTGCGTAATGCTCATCAAATACTATGTTTGAGAATATTGCGCAGGCTAATCAGACTGTCTTATATGTAATATAGGATTGTATGTCTCAACCCACTAGTTCAAGCCTCATCTTCGTAAGAACTGGAGTTGATAAGCCTAGTAAGCTCTAATGAATATTTAAATCCTGAAATAAAAATTTACAAGTCCAAATTACTTAGTATGATCCTTATCTTTGTAAGGACAGGAGTCGACAAAACTTATATTCTAAAAGCCTAAAATAACAATGTTAATATCCCCTTTTAAATATAAAAGTTTTAAATATTGAAATCCCTGATGATGTCCATGTTAATCTAAGATTTCAACCGGAGGGGTTAACCTTTTAAATCAAAAATTTTAAAATAATCAACTAAAATTCAAGCTAAAATTCAATCTCTTAAAACTAAAAGTAAAATTCATCTGTCTTCCGCAACAGTTTGTCGAGGGTGCAAAGTTTTGATTAACTTCAGCTTCCAAAGAGTGAATGTCATATCAAATGCACATCTATATTCACAATCAAAGCAATCGCATTCCGGTAAGGATGTGGCCCAAATCATATGTTTGCATAATTTGACCCAAAGGCTTCACAAAGTAACGATTACGACTAAAGCTCTTTGACCGGGTGGTTGTCGTCAAATGACACAATTATATTACACTGACGGCCGCAACCCGTATGTTCCTCAACGGCTTTCAACTCTTTGAATTGTGAATCATAAGTGTAAAATTGATTGACTTTGTCCTTTTTTTTGTTAAGGTCGATTTAAATTTGTTCCTTTAGACAAATATCCACCCAGATCTACAAGAATCTCTTGGACGACGCAATTCATGACTGCTGACAAGAATCCTTCTGTCAATTTGGGTCAACTAACTGCTCAGACTAAGTAGATTAGAGACCATAATGACCCGGGATGACAGAACCTTGGGATTTTGATTGAGTTTCATTTTCATTCCCCCACCTTCCTTTTTAAGCTTTAAGTGATGAATTTTATAATTCAAAATCCTAAGCCTGCTGCTATTGTATGTTGAATATTCAAATTTTAATGACTATTCTTAATTGAAAGTTTTCTTCCGTAATCAGGAGAGTTAATTAACCATAGAGACTTGCGTCTATGGGAAACCTCGAACTCTAGATCAAAAAGTACTCGTAATATGAGGGCGAAATTTTTCAGTAGTGTCTTATCTACAATCCAATCCCCTTTTTGAAAATTCGACCCTCCAAAGCTCTCTCAAAACAAAAATAAAATAATTGCAGAGTCTGAGGAACGATCATTAATTTTCAGTGCCCACAATCATGAAGGTCTTCTCATTACTTTTTTTAGTGAGAATTGCATGATGGTAAATGAAAGTATTCAAACTATGATAGAGAGATCTAGGATGTTATTTAACTTTTTATTGGCGATATATAATATTGGCTATAGAGTTTTCTTTAATCACGAATCTTTGAAATATTTAAGCTCCCAAAAGAAGTTGGGACATTAACATTGCTAAATTGGTTTACTTTTTTCATGAATATTTGTTAGTCTTTAAATATTGTGTTAGAATTGATTCTTAACTTGTTGTCATTTTAGTTGAATTGCAAGTTTAGGTGGTTAGTTTGACCTTATAAAATATGAGTGTGTTACTAGTAAGGATTTAGTGAGATTTATTGAGACTTAAATAATAATTCACTTATGCTTAGCATCCTTTATGTGCTCAAAGATATCAATTTATTTAAGGGCGCTTGTACTTGCTTTCTTGATTCAACTTTGAGAGATTATATGATTTTAGCGTTATATAATGGAGGTAGTGGTGTATATTTTTCATAAAGATAAACCATAATGTTTATTGAAGGTGGCTATTATTGGCCATGTTTGAAATGTGATGTGACACAAATTGTTTAATATTGTCGAATTATTAAGTGTAGGAAACTGTCATGGTTGTAGATACTTTTTGTGAATTCCATATAAGCCTTGGTAAATCATTACTGAGGATATTGTGCTAGGTTTATTGTGAACATTGAGAAGATACGATTATATTTTTGAAGTGGTAGGTCATTTTTGGAAAAAGGCTCATTTCATACCATATAAAACTGTTGTTGTGTCTTACATTGCTATACCCGAATGAGTTGGTATAATTGATTGGTTTTCTAAAATAATTATTTTTAATTGTGACCTAAAATTGATGAGTTATTTCTAGGAAACTATTTGGAAATAGGTGGGAACATACTTTAAACTTTTAATTATTTTTCTTACACAAATTGAAGACAAATGTTAGTTAACAACTTTGGTGTTCTATTATGTTGTCTTATAAAAAGTCATGCATTTGTGTGGGATTTGATGTAATTTATTTGTCGATAAGTTTACATGTATGAATACATTTAAGATTATGACAAGTTTTTAACTTAAAAAGCATGAGGATGTTATTAAGCTTCAATGTTAAGCCTAATGCATTTACACAATCATTCACATGGTACATGCATGAGTTGCATGCATATATTCTTTCAATTGTTGTGTAAATGTGCCGACCTAATTTCTTGGGAAATCATCAAACTAGTGTGAGGATAATGCCCTAGATTTCGATTACTTCGATTAATTATTTTCCTTAATTTCTTTAATTACTTATCATGAATTTGTTAGTGTTCCTGATTAATTTTCAAACTTAATATAACTGAGATTTTAATTGTGTTGAATAAACTGTAATTATCTGCTGATTCTGTGTGGTTTAAATTTTTATTGATTTCCTTAAATTTATTTGATCATTGTATTATTATTTTGGTTCTAATTTTCATTTTTTTTTGTTTGCGTCTAAATATTGAAGTATTTGTGTATTTAGTAGTCTCTAATATCCGAATCGGTAGTTATTTTGTTTGATCTAACACTCATTTCATGATTCTTATTATATGAAAAAATCTTGGCGCTAAAATGTCTTGTATCACATAAATACAATACAAAATAACCATGACTTGGGCTATTGATGAAGCAATGATGTGCTATTAAATGGAAATTCTGGATGTTTCTCTTTTGAATTCAAGCAGTCTTAATTTTCTAATAATTATATAATTTATATGTATGCAGATCAAAACTGTGTACATTGAAGTTATTCCGTTATCCTGGGACGAGGAAAAAGTACATCAAATTTGCAAAAATTATGGTAAGATAGAAAATGTTCTTCTTTCATGGAATTTCAGTTCAAGTAAAAGGAAGGATTTTGGTCTTGTTAAATTCTTTTCTCACGATAGTGCTGTGGCTTTTGTCGAGGGAATAAACAATGCGCAGCTTGGTGATGGAGAAACCAGAGTAATGCTTGTTTGTTTTTTAACTATATCTTATTGATTAAAGCTCGTTTAATGTTGTTGCATTTTGAATTTCAGATCAGAGCAAGTCTATCCAAACCTCTGAACAAAGACCGGCTTACCAAGAAAGATGATAGAGGTGCTTCTATAATTAAAATGGATGACAAACTAACCAGAAAATTGGTCTCAATAAGAAGAAAAAAGTCAAGTCAAAAGGTGTTGAAAGTAAGGAAGAGATGCAACTCAAATTAAAAAATGTGATAGAAACTGAGCCATCTGAATCCAATAATAAAGGCACCAATGGTGGTACTGAGTCTCAAATAGCAAAATCTGTCAAAAGAAAAAAGGGAAGTGAAAATGCCATGGAAGCTGTTCTTCGTGATTCCTTAAAAAAAGATGAATATGAGCCACCATCATTACAATGGTACATAAAACCATTTTCATATTTGTGTTTTGAGCGGAACAAAAACAAAGCACAGTTAAACATGCTGTTGGAGTTTCTTACAATTTATTTTTTAGGCAAGATGAACGATGATCATTTTAGTATTGCTCGCAAGAGAAAGAGCCGTTATCCTAAAAATCCAGAAAAAAAGCTTTACATTTAGCAGCATATCCAACACGATATGGAAGACCTTGTTGAGAAATTTAGGGCGAAGAAAAATAGGAATTGACACAAATCTAGAAGAACACACAGAGATTTACGAGGTGAGGTTCGGTAAAGATCACTATGTGCTCGGGAACTGAGCGACGACTCCTTTTGAATATTTAGAAAAGAGCACAAAATCACTATGTGCTCGGGAACTGAGCGGCGACTCCTTTTGAATATTTAGAAAAGAGCACAAAATACAAGATTCAGAATCTTAGAATCTCACATAGGGTTACAAACAGGACATATATATAACCTTATAGTACAATATATAATTACTTAAATTACCCCTGTACCAAACTGCGGGGTGTTGCCCCGCACCCCCAACCCACATAATGAAACTCCTCCGATTGGACAGAGTCTTCTGCTCCACTCCGCTCGTAACAGACCTCATAGTAATTCAGAATATCATGCCTATACTGCATCCTCTGAGCCTCAGTTTCGCCACTCTGATCTAGTTAGTACTCATAAGCACACTGTTTCCCATCTACCTTGTAGACAAATTTTTCCAGGAACCTCATGCTGGATACCTTCCTGCTGTGAAACAAGTTTCCACTACTGACGATTATGATTAAAGAAGGCTTGTTTTCTTATAACATACTTTCATGAGGCTTCAAAGTTTGTCATTTGCTAAAATTCATTCTCTTCTCATGTTTGATATATCTGGAGCTTTAACAGCGAACAAAGGAGAATTTCTGGGTATTCAAGAGGTAATCCTTCCGAAAGAATTTCTGGATGTTGTGAATAGCAGGCCATTTTTTTTTTTTTCGATACTCGTAATATTTCTTATCAAATTAATTGAACTTAAAAGCTACGGTCATGTAATAAGCTTATCAAATAATGATCTTAAAAGCTACAGGATGGCGGGCTGGATTTTAGACTTTATGGCTCCACTGGATAGTTATAAGGCCAGGCAAAAACATTTTAATCGGACTTGCTCATTCTCCAAGAAGCTAGGTCAGATCTAGCGGACCAGAGCATCATACCAGGTAATTGTTCCTGATTGAGCTTGAAAAGGAGGCATTATTTATCTGTTTCTATCAAAAATTATAATTCTTTATTGCATCATGTAATGTAATGAAGGTTTTCGAATGAGAAAATTATGCAAAAACGAATGTGTATTGGAAGCTTGAGAATATTTTGAAGTTACTAACTAGAGCACAAGGTTAAGGTGAATGTTATAGTCAAGTTTTTGAACATGTACTGGAGAATAGGCATTCAGAAGGAGAGAACGTTGACTTGATTGTTGGGTGCCAAGGAATAAAAGTTTAATTCGGAAACTATTTGATAGGATTTTGCAAAGCTATCATGGTGCACGTCCAAATTAGCGATAATGATAAGTGGTGAAGTATTTAAGAAGTCTCATAATTGGATGGAATGATTAAACTGGTGATCATGGCCATATGAAATTGTGCATCTTGGTGGTCTAGGAGGGTTAATATGGAAGAGTTCTTGAATTTAGTTACGTAGCGTGTGTGGCTTGATAATTTGACATGCAGTAATCATTTAAGACTGTTTCGTTGAAAATTTTAAAAAAAATGAGGCTAGAGATAGGATAAATCAATTTTTCTAACAATTTAAAAACATATGAACTTTTTAAATTTCTCAAGCTTAGATATCAAATTGCTCCTCAATTATCTTTGCAATAAAATCTAAATAAAGCTTCTTTCTTTGAAGTACGATGCAAACAATTATCATGATCTTGGCTTCAAGGTGAATTGTGAAGGCCTAGTGATTTGATTTTGGGCCTTTGGGATAAATATGAATAGCTATCAAGTAACTTACAACTCTTTGGGTTAGATAGCTAAGGAATCAAGTAACCTGCACCTCGATAGGATTGATTGTTATGTATTAAGTAACCCATATCTCTCTGGGATAGATGGAATATGTATTAAGTAGTCCAAATTTTCTAGGAGGTTTTCATATGATTATGCCCCCTTCTAGATATGTATCAAGTAATCTGTGCCTCTTTAGGAGAAAGTTATGCGATTCAAACCTCGTTTGGGTTTGTGTTATTATGCGAGCTATTGCAATGTTTCATATAAGTTATTATCAAGCTAGACATAACTTGATATATTAGGCTATCCTGAGTAGTTTTGAGTGCTCTGTGAAAGAGTAGGAGAGAGGTAACTCATTTTCGAGGTGTTCAGTAGCATGAGGTCTATTATAATTTTTAATAGTAACCATAGTTAATTAAGCTCTAGTGATCTTGATTTGGCCTTGATGGCTAATTGAAGCTTATCAATATTTTGTGAATGGGTGCTATGAGGACGGTTGAGAATAAGGCAATAGGTTTACTTCAATTGGATCAAGCTGAGGTGCAAAATTAGCTTTTGACGCAAAGTAGGTTTATCCTTGGGATTGAAATTGAGTTTAGTGAATATTTCTAAATTGGGCCCAACTTAGAGATATAAAGTAGATATAATAGGTTTTATTGAATTGAGCCTAGTTCAAGGGGCTAATCTAGGTATAATAGCTTTTGGTGAGCTAGACCTCGCTCGGAGATCTAAAATAGTTGTAAGTGGTTTGTTGCATTAGACTTGTAGAGCTAAAGACGTGAGTTGACATGATACTTCTTAAAAGTATCATCCGTCAATGGGAGGCATCATATGAGAGCCTTTATAGCAGACGAGCTGATTAATCCACACTTAAATGCATTTAAGATGACAAAAGGCCCTCCCAACCGGGTTGAAATTTACCATTAAATTTTAATGGTATAAGATCAATCAACAAAGAAATAGTATGAAACTCCCAAATTTGAAGGACTTTGGGTGGAACAATTAGTTGTTGGCACTAGTCATTTGTGTATAATTAGAGGTTTCATTGGGCTTGAAGGTATTTCTTGTTTAGCACTTCAAGCCCTTCTGGACAGAAGCAAGTTATTTCTCATCTGTCGGTCGGACATGTGGAGTGAGGCTGAAAGTTCTACTTTGAGGTGAAGTATTATTTCCTCTCCAAATTTTCGTGGATAAGGAGTCCCATGAACAGTTTTTTCACAAGTGGTTGTCTAGGCCATAGTGCCTTAGCTTCTCATGCATTCATATTTGTTGATAGTGAGTTGCTTTTTAAACAATTAAACTAGGGTCTTATTAAGGGCTTCCGCTAAATTATTTTCATTACAATAATATATTCTATGGTAGTGCCAAGTTGTAGTCGTGCAAATGTATAGATCTTGATGCTCTTAGAGCTAATGTCATTATTTGAGACAATTCATTACGCTTCCACTGGTGTTTTTTCTCCTCTTTTGTGTCATTTTTTTGGTTGAAATTTATTGGAATCTTGGTAGGTTTGCACCTCAACATTCCAAGAATGTTCCTTCTTTGGGATATCATAATTCCCTCTTGAATATGACCACTTCTATGCCCAGAAAGTATCTCATCACTCCTAGTTCCTTAATGTTAAATTCAACAGCAAGAACCTTCTTAATCTTTCCAAACTTTTTTTCATTATCACCTTTCACGATCATATCATCTCATCTATATAGATGCGTATAGCTTCTTACATCCTTTGTATGCTTTATGAAAAATGTATGATTTGCTTGGCATTAGATGTGTCCATTAGATTTCATAGTTTTGGTAAACTTTGTTAAAGCAAACCTTTGGAGATTTTTTTAGGCTATAAAGTATTTTTCTTAGTTATAAACCTAATATTTATTGGAGTCATTTGGATTGTTCATGTGTTGACTCATTATGCTGACATAATAAACGATCTTAAGTCTAGCTGTAATAAGTAGAAAAGCTTATCCACTAATCTCTAATATTTGCCTTTTTCCACTGGTGCCTTTTCTCCCCTTAACTGCAACTTTTTGTTTAAATTCATAGGAATTTTAAAAGGTTTGCACCCCAACATTCCTCATTCTCTTAATAAGACTATGATGTTCTTGTTTTGGGATATCACAACTCATCTCAGACGTTGCTACTTCAACACGCATAAAGTCTCATTGCTCATAGATCATTAATTTCAAATTTAGTAGCAAAAACCTTCTTAATCTTTCCAATATCTTTGTCATCATCACATATCAGGATCATATCATCTACATAGACTATGAGTATAATTTTCTTACCTTCTTGTATATGCTTTATGAACCATGTGTGATCTGTTTGACATTGGATGTATCCCATTAGATTTCATTGTTTTGACAAACTTATCAAACCAAGCCCTTTGAGATTGAATGTGACTATAAAGTGACTTTCTTAGTTTACAAATCCGATGTTATTGGAGTTATTTTCCATTTTTTATGGGATCTCCATTTACACTTCTTTCTCAAGGTTTCCATTCAAAAATACATTTTTGATATTAAGTTGATGTAGTTCCCATTCTTTATTCTCTGTCAAGGAAAAAAAGAATTCTTATTGTGCTTAAGTTAGCACTGAAACAAAGGTCTCATAATAGTCTATCCCATAAGATTGAGTGAAACTTTTTACCACTAACCTAGTCTTGAACATCTCAATGCTTCAATATGCTTTGTACTTGATATTGAACACCCATTTTTATCCAGTGAATTCTTATATGGAGGAAATTTTGTAAGGGTCCATGTGTCATTTAGATCAAGTGTTTTAATCTCTTCTTCAACTGCCTTTTTTATTATGAACTTAGAAGTGTTTCATGAATAGACTTGTGTATCTGCACACAATCAAGATTAGTTACAAAGACTTTATAAGTTAATGATAACTTCTCATAGGCAACATAATCCTGGATAGGATAATTTGTGCAAATTTTTGTCATCTTCACTAGATTCCATCTTCCTTGAAACCTTTGAGATGTGTGAACTTAGGTTT